TTCCAGAAGTAAGGAAACCTGTTCATCAGGATCAGGGAGAAGGGGCCCCAATTGTCCCACAAAAGCTGTCTGAGCTCTTTGGGTTTTGTTGTGTGTGGGGGGTTTTCTGATTGACTTCCCACCTGCTCAGGGATATTATACCCTGAAGTCTGGTTGCTCTTTAATGCTGCTCTCTTCACACAGAACCCAATATCCAAGCCCAACTCCCCTTCTGGAAGCAGAGAAGCACTCCGGAAGGGTTCCTGCAGAGAACCTCTGCTGGGGGCAGAAATGGGAAGCTGGCTCTCAGGGGAGGGCACTTGGAAGTCTCACTGGCTTGTGTTGATTTGTTTCTGCTTAAGTATGCAAATGATGATGAATGGGGTGGGGAAGGAATCTAGGGAGGGCCTGAAACCCAGGTCTGTGGGTCCTGTTCATTCTCAAGGTCAGCACTCAAGGCCCAGAGGAGAGGTGGGTGACGCCCCAGAAGCAGAACCATAAACGCTGCTTCTTGTCCCTGCTTCAGGCTTAGGAATCTTGTTTGTCTCTTGTCCCCATTCTCCAGGAGCATATTTCTCTGACTTAAGGGTGAGAAGCCCAAGACAACTAGAGAGGGTCTGGTGGTAAGCAGAATAAAACCAGAAGAATGGAAGGACAAGGGCCTCATGGTTTCACCTTGAAAATTTTGAATCTCCTGGCGAGATTTTTCTTTCGTGTATTATTTATTTAAGTAACATTACACTATTGCACATGTTTCTTACAGAAACATGTTTTGCCTCACTAAAAATCACCACTTGTATATATTACATGAACTTTATCACAACTTCAGTCCCATCCATGAAGAGATTTACTTTCATTTTCCTACATTATTGTTCATTTTTGTACAGTATTTGATCTCCCCCTCGGGGGTAGGTAATTTCCGTAGATTGCCCACCACCATATCACCCATGAACCCTCCCCATAGTCCCTCGTGCGTTCCCTCCCATTTTGACCTCCTTTCTCCCGCTCCCCTGCTGTGTGCCCCTGATTTATAGGTTTACCTGCTAGTTTTGTCTCTTCTTTTTCTATGACCCTTTATTTGGTTCCCTACATTCATTCCTCTGATAAAGAAAACCCCCAAGGGCCTCCCTGGTGGCACAAGGGGTTAAGTCTCAGCACAGTGAAGCTGCCTGTAGCCACTGCAACCTGAGTTCCACCCCCTGCTGGGAGCTGACCCACGTGGCGCAGCAGACCTCCTCTGTCTTACCTGCTGCTCCCCTCAGCAGTGTATTTCAGTGGATCTGCCTGTTCTGCTCCCCCCCTCTCCCCTGTCTCTGGTGAATCCTCTCACCACCATCCCCAACTCTGGTCTATATCCCAGCGCTTGTATGCATATATAAATCTTTTTAAAAAGTGAAACCACTGATATTTTTCTTTTCCTCATGAAGAGATTTTAAAGAGATTCTCTGAAGATGCTTATGAAACTGTGAAACTACAGCAGAAGAGACAGCCATTAAACTTTTCGGAAAGTGCTCCTTCTGTAGTCAAGAGAAAGTGTCAGAGTGGGAGACACTGCCTTTCTAGAGACATTTTAGGACTGAATAGGAAAGTGAGAATCAGCTCTGACTAGAGGCCAGGGGTGTGGTTGGGAACTATTGCCCAGAGCAGTGTAAGTTGTTTACACCCTGTTGCCTCAGAATTTTCCTACATTGGATAAATACATAGTAAGCAGAGGATGCATTATATAGTTGATGCTCAGCAAACCTAAAGATAGGAATTCAGAACAGAATTGAAGTAAAGGAAATGATCTACAACTGGTGGCTTCAAGCACTGCACAGACGGAGGTGTGGGGCAGAAGCCCTGTGGGCAACCCTTTGGCTTCACCTTTGCCAGTGGCCATGGGCTCCCCTCAGTCAGTGGTGTGTGTGTGT